GTTTCTTTTACCCTTTCTTTGTCGCTTGCTTCCCGATCCACCAGAGAGCCCTACAAAGAGAAACTGCTTTTAATATTACCACTGATACATCAAACACAAAGAGTGAGAGACCATCTTAAAGAGCGAAACACTAAATTAAATGGATAATCATTTTGTTTTTCTAATAAAATCATGAATAAATAAAGCCCAAATAATGAAAACATGCTGTTTTTTTTTTTATCTGAATGCTCAAAGCATCTCTATACATTTGAGGAACAAACATACTGTAAAATTTGGACCATTTCCAAAACCTCAACTTGTGGAAACTAGCACGACTTCCTCATTAATTTGTGAATCACTGATGAGAAGTAGTGATTAAAAAAAAAGGTTCCTCTTCACCTTGAGGTCGTACTTCCTGTGCACCACCAGTCTGTGGCTGAACATGTTCCTCATGACCATCAGGTAGGTCTCCTCGCTGTCCACGGTGACGCGGTACATACCCAGGAACTGTGGCAGCAGCGTGTTCCCGTGACACTTCACTATGTGCTGCAAAGAGGAAATGACTGTGAATTTGCATGACAGGTGGAAAAGGTGGATTAATGTCAACGGCAGGAACAACTTCACAAACACAACGAACAAAAACTGAAGTTAAAGCTTCAAACATTCAAACTCTCTTTTGAAGCGAGAGCGATTAATAACTCTAGTTTCATGTCATTTCAATTCAACTGAAAATTTAAATTGAGTATGGCGATGTTTCTTATTCTCCTGGGTCTTTGCAATGCTTCATATGGTCTCTCGTGGAGAAATGAGATTCATCATAAACCTTAAAGCCCTGACACATCATTATGTGTTGTACACTTGGGTCATGCTTGGTCTGCTCCTGTTTCTTACTGATCCATCCTTTGCTGTACCTACGCTGATTTGCATGCAAACATATTATTTGCTTCTCTAGTAAACTTCCAACTACTTTCCTGAATATCGTCTTGGTTTGGCTGCCAAAATGTCTCAGGATAAAGTAAACCTACTCTCTGACCCCCCCCAGCTGCAATGCAAGCACAACGTGTTTGCAGACTGCCACTGAAGAACAAACCTGGAAGACTACACCAGGTGTGAGACTGATAAGAAACAGCCTCCTAGTA